TCGGTTCCAATCAATCTCAGAAAGTACAAAAAATCCACTTCGCCCATCGAAAAAACTGCATGGGAACTTGTCTAAATAAAGAAATGTGAAAAAATGCACAATAAAAAAACCGACACAGGGGAGATTTCGCCGGAATCAGCAATGGGATGTTTCGGCGTTTGTTGCCTACCGCGAACGCGCCGTTCGACAAACGGGAGTTTTGGCGAAACGGCATCGCCGCGAACGTGTTAAGAACCCATCCTATTGAGAGGCCATTCCACGATGGTTGTATGGGTGGTGCAGGGAAGGCACGCCACTGCATTGTGTAAAATTTTTGTTGAATACGTCCATTCCCTCCCTCCCCCGCGAAGGAGGGTTTCAGTACGACCTACCCCCGAAGATGAGATGATATCGAGTCGGATTCTCAAAGTTTGAGCGTTAGCATACGTTTCTATACTGAAATGTGGCGCAATACCTCAAGACACCATGCAAGATGCCCACGAATTTCAGAAATATCCATTTTTGAGCACATACAACTTATGTGAGAGCTGCATCTCTGAAGCGAGATAGCAGGGTTTCGAAGCTCTAGGTTCGCTTTCGACTAACTGTGCATATAAGGTACAGCATCATTGTGTGAAACAAAGGGGGGGGGGAGTCTTACTTGACCGCTGGAGAGGAGAGACGTATTTCGTCGTTGTTGGAAGAAGGAGGGGGGGGGGGCGTATGTGCCTTTGAGAGAAATTAGCCGCGTTGGGGAAAATTTTCCCCCTGTCGTTGACCTTTCGCGGTTTTTCCCATACCACATTGGCCCCGTGTCCCGCCCACCCCATTTCGGATGGAAATTTCTGCAAAACGGTAACGGAGGATGATGAAGCCTTTCAGTGTTCTTGCTTGAGAGTATTTAAAGCACCATTTATGGGTGGCGTGGCGCAAAGAACGTTCAAAGATGAAATATGGAGCGGAGCAAAAACGACACTCTGCCCATGGCACGCATCATGTTACATCAGCATCGTGACAAGCTAACGACTCAAAAAAATTATTTTCGGAATGTTCCCCCCATTACCACAGTTTTCAAGGACTAATGTAATTTTTGTAATTTTTATTACACTACATTTAGAGGATTCCTGTGAGGTGTAATCAGCTGAAAAAGACTGAGAATCAAAAACTCAAACAAATGAAGTATGATCAACAAAACAACAAACAAGAGAAACTCGAATTAGAAGAAATGCAAACCAGAGAAATGATGAGAGTTATCACGCAAGACCCTCAAAGGGGTTTCGGAAGAGATCAGTTGACATGTTGCCCTCCTAAGCAGATGAACCCGTGCAACTCTGAAGGAATTATTCGCAAAGAAATGATGTCCGGGATTACACCTAGTGTACCTACAACTAGAATTTTTTCGAGTTGTCCCGTGATTATTGACTCCCTGACTGCTAAATGATTGTGAGGATCAGGGCTAGTGTAAAAGTGAAGAGTTTCAAACAGCATCATAAGGTATATGATAAGGTTATGTAAGATAGCTGAGGTTGTGATGTAAGGTAGCTGTTATGTATAGGCTTCAAACTTTTCACCTCCACGAAGGTGGAGCCACTGGTTACCTCCAACAATCTCGAGGAGGCCCACAAGGTTTTTGTTAACGGGGGCAGTCGCGTATTTTCTACACCTGAGCCATTGGCATGCTTATTCCATGTATCGCTCTGCGATTGGACGAAGCCAGCTGTGGGGTATCGTGGCAACCTCAAGATGGTGGATGAATTCATTTCATGACCTTAATTACCTGTCAAGCTGATCATTAGGGGCTCTGCGACCTCAAGGCAACTCTGCTCCATGGATTACGAAAATTAAAAAGTGAAGCCACTGCCTGATTAGATGCTCACATTGCTCACTTTACCTGTCACTGAGGATGACCACATTTCTCACTTTCCCTGTCACTCGGGCACAGCTTGTGGGAGGGGTGGAAGTTATGGAGGAAGGGGAAGGGACATATAGTGTTCACGAAACGAGAAAAATTACTGTCAGAAAAAACGACATCCTTCCCAGCCAGCAACTAACTCCTGCCGAGTTCCGGTAATTGCCTATGTTCTCAGTCAGTACCATGTTGAAATGGGGCTCGAAAACACATCAGCTCAACCCATAAGGACAAACCCATAAGTATAGCGCTCATCGCGTTACCACTGGCCGATGCGGCTTCCCCAATATTACTACGAATCTATGGAGACCTCTAGAAATCCGAAGTGTTATTTCAACTCCTCATTCTTCGTATGAAGATAAACATGATACTTGACGTATTCATTTTGACAGTTTTCTAGGCTAAAGACAGATCTTTGTTGGTCCATTGCAGCTGACAGCTCGAAAGGGCAGCCGAACTCGTCGTTTTTATCACAGTAACGCAGCTCAACAAAAGTCAAAACGCAGCCCGTGCCATCCTGTGTTAGACGGCTCCTCAGCGAGCTTCAAGAGCTATACACTCATATGAGGATTGATTATTCATGGGCTTCTCGGGCTAGTTTTTATAACAACGAGAAATTCTATCTTTTGAACCTTTGAAGCTGCTCTGAAAAACGTTTCAGATTCAATGAGCCTTCACAAATTAACAATAGTCATGCACGCGATCGTCTACCATCACTCAAATTCCTCATGCAGCCATTGATATGAGCATATTGTGGCTATGCTGTAAGGGGTGCGTTGTATGAATAATTTAAGAGCCTGACAAGGACAGAGCCTTCGTCACCGCAGTGGGTGGTCCCTCGCAGGCTACAAAATCGACTTTCAGCAGCTTCCTGACTCTGCCGCTTCCAAGTGCTCAGAAACAGTGTTTGTTTGAAGATTGCCCGAAATGCAATACGTCGTCGTTGTGCACAAATAAGTGGAAACGGTAGAATGGAATCCAGTTGATGGCTCGAATTTCTACCCGTTGGTTTCTACCATCAAAATAAAAAACACTGTAGTATACTGTACCTGTCATCAAGCGATTACAATACCACTACAAATACATCACTGCACCATTCTACACCTCTTACGAATAGTCCTGCCTTTATCGAAGGACGTCAGTCTAGGATGTAAGTCGTTACTTCCGAGTACCAGCCAGTTTGGCGAAAGAAACGACAATCGGAATTACGAACAGGTATTCGCACCAGGACCCTCTATTCAACAGGGCAGCGCTGCCGCGTGTGTGAACCTCTTGAGTCATCTAGCGAGTAAAGGCCTGCGTTGTCGTGATTCGAATCCAGCAATACACCTGAGTGTTTGAGATCAAGCCACATTGAAGTATTTCAATGTGCAACACATTGAAGTGAGAGATCAAAAATATTACTGAAGAAAAAACTAAAAATTCTATACACTACACTAACTGGAGGTGCAGGCAGCATTACGCTGCGCACTTTCAGAATTTTTTGGCAACATGCCAATAAGTGACGGATAGAAACCCCTCACCTAGTACAGCTTAGTGCCCTTTTGCAAACCGCGAAGTTGAATGGCACAAGCCTTCCTCTTTTCATGAGGACAAGCTTCGATAGCTGCCATTGCGTGGCTTCACAAGAATTCACAGGTCTTCACGTCGCATGGAACTAGCGAATTCCTTCGCCAACCCTTTTCCACTACTCTTCACAAAGGCCCAACCCATGGTTCCCAGTCCAAAGTGAGCAAGGCTGTACGCGCTACTGGTGTGGCGCTGCACCACCCTCTGAGCAACAGTAGTTTTTGAGCTCTACAGACAATACTCAGCAAGTGGCCAAAAAAGTTGAATTTCTGTAGGTAACCCCTTCACAGAGCGCAGAAAGCGGGAATGGCAAGCGTACAACACACGAGACCAATTGCCAACGTTTGCATCAGGCATACAGGATCTGCTTTTCGCTGCCCATTTGCTTGCACCTCCACGCGCTAATCCTTCGCCACAAGTACTCAAGTGGCTGTAAACGTCGCAGCAAGCACCAAATGTTACAGAAGCGGCAGAGTGATTTTTTGTGGTGCACTTCAGTTTTGTGATTTTTTGTGGTGCACTTCAGTTTTGGTGCAATTCAGCTTTGTAGAAACTTTTTGCTGATCCCCATCTACCACACTGGTAACAGTCTGTGGAGTGCAACAGCAGGAGCTTCGTTCACCCTGACAAGAGTCTACTAATTTCGCCAAGCTAAGGCGTGTAAGTCTAGGAACTAGTAAAAGATACCAGCGAACTAGATAAATGCTCAGCACCCCCTCCCCCCTCATCCTAATGGTAAGCTGAAAGGGTACGCGGCAAGAGAATCGTAATGCACCAGTGGGCGTCGCGTGCGACGTCGCAGCTACTAATGACGACGATTTTCACATTGGTATTGCTCGAGAATAAACAATGTATGACCAAAAATAGACATGTGTCTACCATATCCTTGTCTACATGACATGAGATGCTTTAATCGAAAGGGTACTGCAAACTGAGAGAACGTCGCGCCCACTGCCGCGCGCGACGAAGCGGCAACTCAGGATACCCTCGCCCATCTCCCAGGCCTAACACCGTCGACTTCTTACACGCTCGCATTTGTGCGAAAATTCTTTTTTTTTCATACCGGATAAGCTTCAGCCGCAGAAGGTCGGAACGAGCTCAAAGGAGCTTAGCAAGCGCTTCAATAATAATCTAGAACAAACAGATCAACTCAGAAATGTCAAGATCTTATTGTCTGACATTACTACAAAAGAATTCTAATAACAAAAATATACACAACATAACACAATGACAACAAAAATTGTGATACCCATCTATTAATGAAGAAGTATTATCACGAAGGCTAGAAATTGTCACAACAAAGACTTTGCACGTGGTCAGACTAGGTAACAGGGAACACAGATACGGTCACATTCTAGGGCTAAACCGTTGCATGAATGCAACTGACCGGGAAAAAGGAACATTGTGTTCCAAGGGTCGGGGCCAGTGAGAAGGCCAGCTGCTTCAAATGGAACTTCAAATCGCGGGAAGAGATCAAACGACGCTCGGCGTCATACCCGCTCAGACTATTTAGTCATACGAGTGAGAACTGATTGATAAGCAGTTAATGTGGAAGTTGATGAATTGTAGCGATCACAGACTCCTTATACACCTTTGAAAGACCCTCTTGCCAGAACGTCAGCACGTCACGGTCCTGAAAGAGCACTTCATCAGTGTCCTGACACGACAACAGGTTACTGGGGAAGAAAAAGAGAACTAAATGGTACCTGTTCAGAACAACCGCGTACGACGTTGAACACGTTACTAACGTGCATTGATGGAATGATTTCCTTTTGACGAGACATTTGATACACTAATTTGGCTTTAGAGACCCAATGTTCTCGCGTCGAACGTATCGTCGCGTCCAATACCGTATGGTGTACTTCGCTATCTGAAATTACTGTTCACTGAGAACAGCACAGCCAACCAGATTCGCACTGCAGCGCAGAACTCACCTAACAGAAGCTGCCTATACCGATCCAGTAGGCGAGGATTCCTTGGATTGGGCAACGGCCGCCTTCGCACTTGAATGCGGCACGATTCCAGAGATCCCTTATCGGCTTGTTCAGCGTCTTCAGTCTGGATGCGAAGCACGAGCACGTTCGCGTCCAGAGGAATGTCCATGTCTAGTGGGCCGCCAAGTAAATTGTACCTACAATCAAAATGGTTGGATCTTATGCACAGTTCGAGGAGTTTCGTTTACGAAACAGAAACATCATAGGAACGTTCACGACTGTCTTCCCTTAACCTGAAGAACACATACTAAGGCACACTCCGCATTCATCTGATATTCAGACGTCTTCTTTGTACAAGGTAGCCCTGTCTGCAAGCAACAGGATGTATTCTTTTTGCAGATCAGAAATATGCGAAGAAGGCGCGACGAGGGCAACGATCCGCCTACTGCTTAAGGCAACACCCATTTTATAGTTTTGAAAGATTTCTGGTGTTGTAGTTGTTCCGCTACTAGCACGAACATTTTGGGTGGGGTTTTTTTCTGCTTTCTTGTCTACTTCGGACTTATTTATAAGGGGAACAAGCTGTTAACAGCAAGTCAGAACTCGTCCGACCACGCTCTCCTATACAGGGCGTGAAAACCTGTCCGGCTACGCCACCTATGTGGGCATTTTAGGCGGGATTTCTTTGTGCTTTCTTGCTTACTTCTGACTCGTTTACCTCTTTCTCACCGGCATTTGAGCTGCACAAGTCACACATTTTCGAACGCGTGGTATGCCTTTGATAACGGATGGATTCAGAACAGCAAGGTCAAACGAGATCCAGGGACAAAGGAACTCTGAAATTCAACGACAAACCCCCGAGTAAATAGGCCACGGCTCATAAAGTGTACCGGTAGGCTGACTGTAATTGTTAACGTATGGTGTAAGCCAGGTCATTCTTAACCAAGAGTGCAACCATACATTCTTGACCAAGAGTACACCATACGTATTGCTGGGTTTGTCCATTCCTGTTGCAATGCCTGACAGCTTGTTTCGGCTTTTGTCCCCACTTTTGAGAAAGTATTTTTGAGTCACAAGGTGATCCCATGCGGTACCCATGTCACACAAGCTACTATTACCGAGAACACTGAAAAAAGTACCTTTGAGACCACCTCTCATACGGCTCATGACCCCAGAAGACAACAAATCTCCAACGGAGACAGCGCTAAAACGGATAATACGACCAATTACGCGCGGTCTTTTCAAGTTGAACTTGCAAAAATACTGTAAATCCCACGCGAACGAAAAACCCGCCGCTATATACCGCAATTCATCGCTGCCTTTCCACTGCCCTCTTTTAGACGACAAATGTGGTCGCGTGCCGATCGTGCGGACGACCCGTGGGAGCGTGACAACAGATTTTCCCAGCCGCTGAAGAGGGTTGGAAATGAGAGACAGCCAAAAGGTGCGATTCTCCTTGGCTGTATACATAATTTAAACAATCGTAATGCCTTCCTCCGACTAATGCTTTTCCATCGACACGCGAGTTGAAAACGCAACGCACGTTTCGGGGGTCTAGCAACCTATGAAGCGTGCTACGAGGGGTGTTCAGTGTATTCTCGGTAAGGTATGAAGGAAAAGGCAGAAAATTCTGAATTGGATTTATTTTTCAATGTAGTCCCCACCCTCAATACACTTAATCGCTCGGAAACTATTCCAATACCCTCTGAAAACTATTTATCCTCCGTGTCCCCAAAATGTGTGTTAATCGCCGCCTTCAGTTCTCCATCGTCAAAAAAAAACGCATTCCACCAAGATTTTTTAGATTAGGACATAAGAAGTAATCATAAATCATTTTCTCAACTTTTTATATTTTTCTCAACTCTTTTGACCGGTAATCATTTTCTCAACATTGTCGCATCAGCCATTCTGGTCTTCTTTCACCAAGGATGACAAGAATAGCATTGATTAACTGAATGAAATTTTTATTTATACCCTCAGGTAGTGTCGTTACCTCTTGAAAAATTTAAATTTCTTCGTCACTGCTAAATTACCCGATACCAAGAATACTCTGAGCTCGTAATTTCAAACAAAACCATTTATACGGCGATAAAGTGTGGGGAAGGGGCCCGGATCGTCACTGATTGACCGTGAGTAACCAGGATGATAGGGTGGGTATTGTCTGTGGATATGCTCAATGTTCATCTGGTTTTTTTACTACCCAATGTCTAACGAAATATCCCTCAAAGACGTTTACAGGCACAAGGAATTTACTGGAATAACGAGTTCAATGGTTTCTCAGCAAAATTTCTACATGCACTTTCGTCTTGCCAAGAAAGATCGTATTATTTCTATTCAAAATATCAACCATAGACTAGAAAATATCCACAGAAGTCCCTCACTAGTCAACAAATGGTGTGCCCCGTCCTTTCTTTGCATCGCCGGGTTTGGTATCGCGTGCAGATCGCCAGCGTCATTACGCGCATTCGCAGCCGACCGTAACACGACCGCAGCAGCCAGTTATAACAAGACTAGCCTAGCTGGACTATCGTATATGTAGATAGAATTGGTTGGTGAAGAGAAAGGTGATAGGGGGAGAGTCTAAAGACACAGAGACCAAAATTGGTATTCGTAGCAAAATGCCTCCCCCCATTCCCCCTCTCCACCATGGAGGAGGTTAAGAGCAGATCAGAACACGAAGTCACTATGCAATATATAAACTGGACAAACTGTAGTATCATGAATAATGATGAAACGAGGAACTCACTTGGTCTCATACGTCTCGCTGTAGATGAGCACTTTCAAACATCCGATGGGCAGCAGATTTGACAACGCAAGGATCAGCTGTTTCGCTAGCACCCGGTCAGGACTTTCGACAACAAGCTGAAATGAGACAATGATAAGTGTGTAGAATGAAATGTAGAGTTTGTTTGCAAAAGTATTTCGAGCACATTGAAGAAGAACTTTCTCTGCACAGTGCTGTTTATATCGTCGTTTTCAATGAATTCCTGCTTCTAGTTCTAGTCAGGATGACAAACAATGGACGCTGTTCGGTGACGGGGGGAGGGGGGAGGGGGCATTTTTAGGCAAAACCTGTGAACTCTTGTATAGCTGGAACAAGGTCGTCCAGCCACCATGATAAAACCTGTCAACTCTCGTAAGCTCTTGAAACAGCTCTTTAGATAGGTCGACGGGAAGTGGCAAAAGTGCAAAATGCTCCCTACCCCGTCGCCGAACTGCGCCCAAACAATGCTTGCGTATTAGTGATCTAGCAAAAAGCTAGAAAATGTGAATTTTTCTCAGAGTATAAAATGCAGGAGTGATTGAATATCGTTTAACTCATCAATCACTATTAAAGGAATGGTCCGCGATGATCCATGGATGTGGGCGGGAAAGGAATTGTGTTCCGCTGTGGACAACCCTTTGTCAGTTTCATAGCGGATGGTTGTATGGTGTTAAGGCCGAAAGTTGCTCTATAAGTACATACCTCACATTTCCCAATGACTAGGCCTCCTTAGTCTGCCTTCCAGTCAAAAGCGATGCAACCAGACGAGCAGCATGAAAGGGATGCTCTGTGAAGTCATAGGGTTCATCATAAAGGACAGCCGAATGAAACCGACACGCGGTCCTTTAGCCTTTCATTCCTATAACTGTTTGGGCCGTGAGGGGCCCTATAGGCGTGACCGATGTTCCGTTTAGCATTTACTTTTCTTAAAAGAGTCGCTTGACAACTTCCATCTCTTATTCCGAAGTCATTGCCCACGCTCCCTATTGTGGACTGTGCCTTTAGTTATTAGATTTAACTTCAATACGGTTCCATCTTCTATTTTCAATGGGTAACAATATTATTTTTGGCTGATAAAAGTGGGAAATTTCTGGAGAATCTCGGAAAAGTGGCATGAAGCTGAGAAAAGTCAGTAGGTAGGACGGAGTGAACCAGCGAAAGGAATTCGGAGAGGCGGGGGTCGCATTCAGCGAAATTCTTCCAACGACAGAACGTGGCATGGTTGGGAAATCGTTTGGTTGCGGAATAGGTACTACTGGTTACAACAAACTGGGCCAGGCGCACAGAAGTCTTGGAAGATCAGTTGCGAAGCATGACCCAAAGCAGCCATAGGCTCTTGAGCAATTCCCTAAACCGAAGATTAAATGCTCTCTATCGAAGACGCTGATATTGTCATTGATTTCAATGCCTTCTTTGGGGAATGCGTTGCAAGTGGGAACGTAGAAACAAACACCACAGCATCCGATAAGATATAGCTAATGCGAGCCTATCGCATGGCCCGTTACCTAATAACCTTTGGCTTACCCGTGCAAATCAATGGAATGATCAATATCTGCATCCTCCACAGCCATCTCTTCGGATATGAAAAATAGACCTCCGCCCGCCGAATGAGAACCAAATCAAGGAGAGCTGAGATGGGAAGGCTTTGAAAAGGATTACTTACTAGGAAGGGTCTTTCCGCTCACTGCATTTTTTTACAGGGTTTGTAAAACTCTAACTCCACCGCTCTCCACCGGTATCGCAACGTGAATATGTCTTATTAGGGTACTAAATCCCCACACTCATCATGTTAGGGAAGATCCCTCGGTATTCAACATGCACCTCTCGTGTCACAGTTCTGTCTGTACGTCCGCTCAAATTGAAAGGTTCCACTATACGCTCCACCGAACACATAGGTCAAGTAACAGGCTATAAGAGGGGCCGGGTGGGAAAGCACTGGTACAACAAAAGACAGATTAAAAGAGGTATTTGAAGACAGATCAAAAGGAAGCGGTAGCTTCAGTGGTAATGAAGGTACACTGGCTCCAGTAAGTGATTATGACTGAGCCACACTGAGAAATATCGCTGCCCCTGCCCAATCGCACAATAAGTCCCGAGAACCACAGCTATTTCCCCTGAAAAAAAAACCGATTCCGCTAGTTGTTTGAGCATTACTCGTAGCTTTGGATTTCTAGTAGGACACCACTTGAGACGAACAATGTTGGGATTGTCATAAATAGGCCACCTACGTACTAAGAAAAGCATTCCTGAACGAACTGTTGCAATTTCAATAGAACAGTGTTAGTCTCAGGACCTCTGAACAACCGATCCTGGTTCTGTCGGATAATCTGGCTGTTCAATCCAATTTCCTGTTTGCAAGCCACCTCTCTGTGCAAATATGGCACCAGAAACGAGAGCCGAAAAAC